GAAATTTTATTTTTGACTTACATGTTCCCATCAGGAGAAAATCGACTAAATCAACATTGAGCAGTCATTCTAGACATGCGGGAGCATGTTAAGCCTAGTTGCAGGGATGGGACTTCACCGTGCGTATATTTAGACGAACCACTTTGAGCCACTTTTGACTCCTCATCACTCAAAAACTACTGTGCATTAACACTTCAAATTTGCCTCATGTGTTGAGACTTGCAAGATATACATCAGCTTCAAATTTCATAAATATGCTTCAAACGGTTCCTTAGGTATTGACGTCCAAAAATCTACATGTCTGACCTATAGACCAAATTCTAACCACTTCCAGATGACCTCGAAGGTTCAAATTTGGCATCCAGAAAGATAGTTATGTAAATACAAAGGAACAAATAAAAAACTAGTAAATTTTAACATTTCATAGGTGAAAGATAGATTTTAGTGTTCTAAATGTCGATTTTTGAACGTCAATACCTAAATAACTGTTTGAGGTATATTTATGAAATTTTAAGCTGATGTATATCTTGCAAGTCTCAATACATGAGCCAAATTTGAAGTGTTAATGCACAGTAGTTTTTGAATGATGAGGAGTCAAAAGTGGCTCCAATTGGTTCGTCTAAATATACGCAAGGTGCAGTCCCCTCCCTGGAACTAGGCTTAACATGCTCCCGTATGTCTATAGTGTTTGCTCAATGTTGATTTAGTCGATTTTCTCCTGATAGGAACATGTAAGACAAAAATAAAATTTCCAATTTTACAGACCTTCTAGAGCAGATGCCGCAAAAACTATAGATGATATAGAAAAACTTGATGGTCTCGTCTGTAGCAAATTGAATAAGCTTTTTTTGGTTCATAGTAGTCATGTCACTAGGACGCATAGTTTCCGAGGATTAAGCGAAAAACCGAAAAGTGGTACCTTTAAACCCTCCTCTCCTCGCCGGCTCAAGGGCTAAGGGCGGGGACTTTTGCTATGTTCACCACCTAACTAGGCTATATAAAGTCCCGAGGTCAGAAATTGTGTTCCGCGGATTTCTCTCTACACCGTCGTTAAGGCATTCATTGACTGGACTAGTAGTAAATGCGCGGCATATTTTGAAATAATAACGGAGAAATCTATACAGTACGGTTTTACCCCGGTATACGGTTTTGTACAGGTCTCCCCTATCTTCGTACCAATTAAAAAAACTAAATTATTTTTTGTAAAAATAAGCTTATTCATGTTAAGTAAGTGATTGGATTTGATTTTTCCGTCATCACAAGCGATAATTGTAAATCAGTCGGACTTTGAATTTTTGTTTTATTGTCTAAAAGTTTGTTAAGCTAAATATAAATGATAATATTATGTGAATTATTAAATAAGTTTAGTGTTCGTAAACGTGCTATCAATAACATTTTAAATGTAAAAACTGTACGTCGCCATAAGAAGAAATAGATAGAGTAAAATATTAATAAATTATGGTAATGATATTTTTCTAATAAGTAGGTAATAAAAGTATTTTTGCGTATAATTTCAGGTTCGAGTGGCAGCACCGGGCGGGCCCAGGAGCCGCGTCGGAGACCCATGCGGCTTTCACCAAACACATGAAGGGATAGGATTTTGACCGGTAAGTAGGTAGATGCCTATGTAAACTCACAATAAAAAAATATATTTATTTATGAATAGAACGGTCGTACCAATTACACTATTCAAACTAGTAAAAAAGCTCAAAATGATATTTAAAATTGTTGTGATAATCTTATTTTCATAAGGCGCCTTTTGGTAATATGTTAAACGGACATGACGTTATCAGAAGTGTCTGCGAGACTTAACATTTTGATGGTATTAACGTGGAATACTGTCGTTGCAGGAGCGCGGGCGGCGGGCGAGCGAGCGAGGCTGAGGAGCGACGGCACCACACTCGGCAGACAAAGTTCATCATCATCATCATCATCATCATCTCAGCCATAGGACGTCCACTGCTGAACATAGGCCTTCTTCAATGCTTTCCATGTCGCCCGGTTGGTAGCGGCCTGCGTGCAGCGCCTTCCTGCTACCTTTATGATGTCGTCGGTCCACCTTGTAGGTGGACAACGTTCTCTGCTGGTAATTATACTTTTCTTAAACTTCCACCGCTACTTGCACTTGAGTTATCAAGAAACCGAGGACGCTGGGGAACTGATTAACACTATCGACCGTTGGTAGCCTTCATTAATGATATTTGCATTTACTGTTGATTTGTGGCACTGACGTCAACATGACTGTATTATGTGAGCATGTTTTAAATGAAATTGCCATTTTAAAATTTGTTGACTCTGAACAGTGTGCATTAAAATTTGTTCTTGAGCGATGCATAACAAATAATCTGTCTCAACTTTGCACCTGGCTTTCAAATTAAAAAAGAAGTTCTTTTTAAGAGATCTAATAATTAAACTGAAGTTCTTTTCTCAGTTCCAGCAAGCGGAACACCAGCCGACCCCGACTATGTCCGAGTGCGTCCGATGAGCGCGGCCCCGAGCACCGCTGCGCATACTTTGTTTCATAAATCAGTTAGGCTCGGTTGCACCATCTTACTTTGACTTTAACAAACGTCAAAAATCTGTCAAATTCCATACAAAATACTCCGGTTATCGTTATTTATTTATTTATTTATTTTATTTTATTCGGAAAATCAACAGCAATACAATACAAATAATGGGACCTTAAAAAGTTATAGTTAAGGTCAAAATAAATGAATAATAAATAAATAAATTTAGGTGGTACAACTCAGCCTTAGTAAATATTTTGTAAATAACACAATATTTATTATAAGCAATTTTGAAAGTTAAGTTTTTGAGTAATTTTAAGTTTTTTGTAAGTAGAGAAAGTAGTATTAATAAATTGCAGTATTGTTAGACTTAGGGCTGATTTTTCAACCGTCAGATAAGTTTTAACTGAAGAATAAGTTAGGCACATTGATAGTTTCAGTATGGTAAATATGTCAATATGACAAGTAGTATTTTTAATTCCATAAGCATGAGAATCGATGATAATTAAGTATATTATAACTACTCCAAGTGAAATAAAATAATTATTACATTATAGATATTTAACTTGTAAAACTTTCTTAGCATTATTATAATTATTACATCTAAGAGAAATCAAAAATGTAATTATGTACCCGATCATTGACAAAAAACAAAAATTGAAAGGATTCCTTTACAAATTAAAGTCGAGGTCCTTCGACAAACGATAACCGCCCCGCGCGCAGCAGCGCGGGGGTGGGGTGCGGGGGGGGTGCGCATTGTGTAAACTGCTACATTTTTCGTGAACGCTCGCGCGTGCTGCGCACGCGCTCGCGCTTACGCGCGGTTAGGTTCTGAAATGAACCTAACCGGTTTTCAGAATGTCTTCAGGAACCTAACTGTAATTTTTCAGGAATTTTCAGTTACCGGTTTTTGTAACCTAACCGGTTTTTGTTAGGTTTCATTAAGTTNCGCCGGTCGAACCGGTCTGCGGCCGCGCAGCTCTTTTTATGCACGCGTGTATAGGGCTGCCGACAATACCATATTTCAAAACTTTATTTTTAATTTTGATAATATCGTATTTGATTGAGATAGGCCCCCTTAATTTATGTTTATTGTCCATGGTGCATATCTTTTCATAAAGGTTACTAAACCTTTGTTTGTCACCTGTCATCCGCTTTGCAACGGCGGTAAGTCGAACCTTAAGTTCGAACTCCTCCTATGTTCTTCTGATTAATTTCGTTGCGGGTTCAATGACAGTTTCACTTTCCCCCGGGATAAACTAGACCTTCACTGGTTTGGTTTTTATTGGCGGTCAAGCTGTAGATCCTGGCTACACAGGAGTTGCAGCGGTTTTGAAATATCAGTGATTATCAAAACATTTTTATAAAAAAGAAGAATTTAAGTTTACGAGTAGGTAGGTACTACTCTAGTCATAAATCTGAATTTGCGTAAAATGTGGGTACAATGTTTCATTTTTATGTTAATTTAGTCTTAGTCCGATTTAAATACTAATAAAATATTTTTTACATGGTGAAATTATAACAAAGGAAGAGCTTTTTGCCAATAAACAGTTTTTTAACAGCCCTATGGTGTACTCGCCGGCCGCCATGAACCAAGTTTGGTAAAAGTACGTACCAAGCCATAACCTCGCGCATGCGCCGTGTGCAGAATAAACGCCTTGAGTAAGAATACTATCAAATGCATATAAAATACGGTAATTCAATAAGACGAAAGGTAAAATTGTTGTAATACAATACATAGAAAATATTGGGAAAATAGAAGCATACAATATCATTTTCAATTCGCAATAGGTCTTCTACATTACCCTTCTTTGTGCTGTTCGGTTAAAAGCTTCTTTAATTTAAATCGAGATACTTGGATAGATATTTTACTATGGCTTGTTATGTTTGTTGCAAAATTTACTATTTACTTGCAAATATTACTATTTATTCCAATAGACAGATTTCAAGAGAATTCAATCGAAAGTTCCTATTTCGATTACAGCTGTATCTAATTTTCATATTTCATGTCCAGTGTCGAGTAGCGATATTTACAATATTCACGCCACTCGACTCCTGCGCATTGTCGCTTTCTAACGCGGGTCGAAGCGATGGACTCGGACTATAACTCGTCGATTAATCGGTTTATCAAATCGATTACGATAATAATAAAGTGAGGATCGATGTGCCAAGCGAATGCGTAACAAGTGCAATAAAAACCAGACTGGGGCGGATTGAACATTCAATAACAATATTTCATATATATTTTTATTGTACATGTGATTACATACTCTATTATTTATTAAAGTTTTTTATCAAAAAAATTGGTCATAAAGATGTTAGACTTACATAGTAATTCTATTTCAAAAGTTTAATTACGAGTGCTTTTTACAGACCCCAAAGTTATGAAGATACACATAATATATTATACTGTAATAGTTGATATGCTACGCTATACTTGCTGTAATCCCTCCCAGTGCTGGTCGTATGTTTAGCAAACATGACGGCGCTTACCTGATATTGCTCTGGGAACGCGCCACCACCGCGCCTGGGAACAAAAACAAACTTTGAAATTGGGAAAACTGTGCGATCATAACATTCAGTCGATCGCATATCAGACTACACATGTTATAGTCGAGTGTATGTCACGAAGATGAATAGGTATTCCGTGTCGTTCAAATTTGTGCTGTCGCAGGTTTCACAGAGCCACAATTTATTCATCCACAGATGTTCGTCCGTTAAGCATGGTTTGTTTGTCAGTTAGGTACTGCTTTATTAATGCATAGATGCACCGCACGCGGTCATTAATGTTATGTGGGTCATTAGTGTCATTACACAAATTGCTTTTTAGTCCACGTGTAGATTACGCACGCCCACCCCACAATCACTAATATTCATCTTCACAGTCTTGTAACCATGGCGCCTAGCTTCCACTCTTAATAATTATGCTAATGGAGAACCTGCGAAGCATTTCTACCTTATTCAAATTCAAACACTCACTTTTACCTTTTTTAGCCTCCATTTTCATAAATCGGTATAGAAATTTAAAGCCGACAGCAAACAGTGATAGAGAGTGCGTATTGAAATGAAATCGCAAACCAAAACACAGGTAAAAGCTATCAAAATAAGCAAATACAACATTCCGTAACCGTTGCAGGCAACGTAATAATCGTTTTGATTTCTTTATGGTAGAGTCACCTAATGTAATGTTATGTTATCAAATCTACAACAAATTAAACACTATTTTCAGGGGTGGCCGAAAGTTCCTAGTGCTAGATTGTCTAGTTAGATTGAACCACTGTCTCAGCAATATTTGACTCGCATTGATTTTATATTAATGATAGACAGTCGATATCCCGGATGCTACAACAAAACGCTGAATCCACGACCTTTACATTCGCAAACATCACGAACACGAAGAAAGTGGCGACCGGTGACTAATGACCGGCTCTAATTAGTGGGCATTTGATCCTGTTTGATGCAAACAATGGAGGAGACTCGTATTTCACAGCTACTTAATTAGAACTGCAAGAGCACACATACGTAACACACGTACGTGTGTTTCATATAGATTCCACATCAAACAGCCATCCAATAAGTGTGTGCAATGTGCATCTATTATTCACAATATCCGGTGTCTCTAGAAAATTGTACCGGAACAATCACGAAATCACTCTTATTCCTCAAAAACTAACTAAAACTCTCTGACATGTGTTTTGTGTACGCCAATATTATTATTATGTTTATGTATCTAGGTGTATGTCTATTATATTAATATGTATTCTTATGTTATTTATTTTATCTAATGCTATGTAAGTATATTAATTAAATGTCATATTTATTGCACCGCCTTAGTCTCTCTACTCGACCTGTGGTTGACTGGCAGATAATGCCACCTGGCATTAAGTCCACCACTGTACAATTGTATGTGCAAAAGTGTAAATAAATAAATAAAAAAATAAAACCTATGTGAATCAAATATTTAGTTATTCATAAAGTTATATGCACATGTGAAATGCAGACATGCCATGGAAGATTCCAACAATTCGAAATGCTTTCAGCCTTTTATGCAAAATAACACTTATATTAATTCTTTATTTACATTTCACACTACCATAGATCACTCCAGCACCTCAATTATGTCTCATTCATTACATTAATTAATAAATAACCGCCACGGGCGAGGTGCGGACGGTTCCTGCCGTGCATCAGCAGAGAAGTTTATTAATTTGTCAAGACTTATTTTTAGTTTTCCGCTGAGAAGTGATATACGTCTCGTTTCCGAATGCTGGGCCATTTCTCAGAATCTCCTATCTACCCAAATCAACTGGGACTAGCTCAAGATATTTTGTAACGCAATAAATAAGGCGAGAATGATGAGTGGATACTCGTATGTTGAGTCCAGATGTGTACCAGAGGATGTTGGAGAGTAAATTATTGCAATCACTTTTGTTGCCAGTGAAAGTGATCATAGTTATAGTCAAAATCTTTACAAATACAACCCACTCCTATATAAATATCCGATAGCTATTTCATACGTGTTGTGACGATTTACAATACGTTGCAACATGCGATTTCTTTCGCTCCTTGCGCCCGTAATGATGCTCGCGTCGAGTTACGAAAGTGGTTAACGAATTAGGTTCACTAGTTCCTATTAATCACACTATAAAAATACTCACCAGGGGTCTACTCAGGAAACTGCTTCGATTTGTCGACTCTAAGCGTCCTTCTCAATATGCCAGCTACGAGAAAGACAGATAGAGTCGAATGAATATAAAAAGTTTCGTAGAGTTGGACCTCCGTTTGAAATCAACAACTTTTACAATCCTATTGGATTAACGATTTTGAATCTTAGCATGCTTAGAATAAGAAATAAAAAAGTGATTTAAGAATATTGGCGAGGTCTTTCATTGTCCTAGGAGACAATAGGGATGGCGGTGGGTGTGCGTGGGCGCCCGAAGAAGACATTATCGAAGTTTATTGATGAGTGATGGCCAATCGGTAATTATGACACAGAGTAGCGAATGTCTGCGGTTTTGACCTGATTACTTTGTTATGTAAAACGCATGAACATTTATAGGTACTATGTCCCACCTGGTTGGGTTGAAATTATAATATCTGACACTAGTGTTTTGATTTAGTTCTCGATCTACATTGTAAGTAAGAATGTTCATAGTAGCAAATAATTTTTGTTCTAATCATATGCGGTTTTAAATGTAATTTGCATTAACCTACTTTCGAGTCAGCATTAATTAAGTGCATGTAATATAATTTAAACAACGCAGTTGGGGATCCCCCCACTGAGTGCGTCCACGTTCGCGATCCCTGGACCCCATCCTGACCCCGGTAACGCAGGTGGCAGGTGGGTGACTGAAGCTCAGTGCGAAATAGTGCTTGTCTCACCCTTTAAATTACGATAAAAATGCCTAAGTTGTCTCAAAAAGACCAACCCGAACCCGAGCTCCCCGGGTACGCTAGCGATGTTCATGACTTCGCTAGTTTTAAAGAGCTCATAGACAAGTATAAAAATACGCTCTTGGAATGTGTACGGTCGGCAAGCGTGAATGCATGTGGCAAGAAAACGATCAAACTTATTGCTGCTGAAATGGTCAAAGCCACTCAAACATTAGAGACGAAGATCGAATACAGCGACTGTATAGATGTTCCAGTAAGCACCCAAGTTTGTTCGCCACTGCCGAAGCCCATGGAAGAGGGAATTCTGACGGCTATAAGACAAGGCATCCGCGAGGAACTCAAGAACATCCCTGCTCCGTCAAGGCATGTTCCGCCGCGTTCTTACGCCGATACCGTCAGGGTTCCGCCGTCCAAGGATCGGCTTGCCATGCCACGCTCTCTGCCCTCGATCATCATCAAGAGCGCTAATACTGGACAGGACCAGCCCGATGTGCTCACTACATGGAAGAACAAGGTGTCATTTCGTGATACCACGTTTGCACCTACGAAGGTAAAGTCTTTAGGAAAGAACATCGTCCGAGTCGACTTTGACAAACGCGAGCATTGCGCTGAGGCTATAAAGCGCGTCAACGCCGTCCCCGGCATCCAAGCTGAGGAAGCCCGGAAACGTAAGCCCATGATCATCATCAAGGGAATAAGCAAGGATACTGCTAAAGAGGAACTGCTACCCATAGTTGCCCAACAAAACTCGGTGCCGCTAGAAGACCTCCGCTTCTGCTTTCCACTCAAGAACCGGAATCATAAATTGTATAATGCTGTATTGGAGGTACAGCCCGCAATCCGAAAGAGATTTGTCGAGGCAGAACGCATCAATATAGAACACCAACGCGTACGAGTGACGGACTTTTCTCGCTTTGTACAGTGCTATAAGTGCCTCCAATTCGGACACACTAACGGCAAATGCTCGGCAGATTACTACCCGTGCTCACACTGCGCCTCAACAGCACATTCTTTCGCTAATTGCCCGCACAAGGCAAACTCGGATAAGTTGAAATGCATCAACTGTGACAACTTCAACAAGAGAACACAAAGCAGCGTCAAAACCAATCACTCAGCCACCAACCCAAAACTCTGTTCCCGTATAATAAACACACGTAAAATGATAAATGAAACCATTGATTTTGGTAATGAAACCTATTAAGTTCATCCAAATAAACCTCCAACGCTGCTTTGTTGCTCAAACTGAATTTGTGAAGTATTTTTGTGCGAGTGATATCGACGTGGCACTTATCACCGAGCCATACGTTGGTAACTTGCAACACATGAAGACATATCCTGGACTCGACACATTCCAGTTCTACACCAACGAACGCGTAAAGGCGTGTACCATAGTCAAACATAAGTTAGGGCTTGCACTAGGAATCACGCAACTGTCCACCACCAACCTCGCAGTTGTACAGCTGAGTCTCGGACAGAGAAAGCTGTACGTAGCTTCCGCATACATCGAACCCAATACGGACACTAATAATACCCTGGTGGCGCTCGACAAACTGCTAGCAGATACAGCTGGCAGCTATTGTGTCATCGGCGGTGATTTCAACGGTAAACACCCTGAATGGGGCGAAACTCGTATCGACAGTCGAGGAAACGATATCATTGACCTAGCTGCCACACACTCGATGGTTGTATGCAACGTCGGCTCCGTTCCAACATTTGAGGCTGTTCGATATGGGAAATTAAGCACCTCTATCCTGGACATTACTCTGGTCTCCGGTAACATGAGTCAGCTCGTAAAAAACTGGAAAGTAAATATAGAAGCGTGCCCAAGCTCAGACCATAACGCAATTGAATTCGCAATTGCCAGTTCTGACAAAATTCAAAAAACCAAATCAACCTCCACTTTCAAGTACAATGTAAATAAAAATAGATGGGAAGAGTTTCGTGGCACGCTTCACACCAAGTTCCAGGACAGTGGTCTCCTCGATCAGAACATTGCAGATTTCGGTCAGTCGAACATTGATGACTTTGTGAGTAGCATGACACAAAACATACAAGCGGCCTGTCGGGAAGTCTTCCACAAAAGGCCCCCAGCAACCGAGTATAATCCGTGGTGGAATGATGAACTCGAATCACTCAAAAAAGAATTAATTAGAGCTCACCATCGCATACACGATCTAAAAAGATCACGCAGACCCTTCGATGATGCAGTAAAAACCCATAAGACTTTGAAGGAAAATTACGCTAAAGCGCTTTCCAAAGCGTCCACTGAGCATTTTAGGGAATTTTGCGCCACTCAGAATAAGGAAAATGTATGGAGCCTGACAAATCGCCTTATCAAAGAAGGCTCCAAAAGACGACCACCACAAACCCTACGGGCTGGCGTAGCCTTCACTAACAGCCATGCCACAACAGCTAAGGCACTGTTAGATCATTTTTACCCAGACGATAACAATGATATTTCGGTCAAACAACGTAAGATTCGTAATGAATGTCAGGAAGAACCAATCACTGGAAACGATCCACAATTCGAAGTGGAGGAAATCCGCGACATCCTCCGACTAATGAACCCAACCAAAGCACCAGGTCTTGACCATCTCACCTCAGATATTTGCTTACAGACTTTCAATCTTATTCCAGATCTTATCACCAATTTACTCAATAGATGTCTTCATCTCAATTATTTTCCCACTATGTGGAAACAGGCATACGTAAAAATTCTCCCAAAACCAAACAAAGCCGATGTCAATGATCTGTCCTCTTACAGGCCAATCGGACTCCTTCCAGTGTTTGGAAAAGTGCTCGAAAAACTCCTCTCAAAGCGGATCTCATTCCACCTAGAAAGCACTGGAAAATATAATGCTAAACAGTTCGGCTTCAAAGAGCAGACATCCACAATAGATGCTCTTCAAGAGGCAATAAACCGTATAACCAAAGCAAAGGCCGCTGGAAGTCAAGTAATCGCCGTATCGCTTGATATCAAAGCGGCGTTTGATAACGCCTGGTGGCCGCTCTTATTACAAAGGCTTCGGTTGGCAGAGTGTCCCAAGAACCTATTTAAACTGACCCAAAACTATCTCGTCAATAGAACCGCTGTGCTCGACTTTGGTGACGCCACAGCCACAAAAATAACAACCAAAGGCTGCATTCAGGGATCTGTTTGTGGGCCCATGTTTTGGAACATAATCCTAGACGACTTATTAGAAACTCGTTTACCACATGGTGCTTACATACAGGCCTTTGCAGACGATGTGCTACTCATTGTCGAGGCCCCGTCTNATATCGATTAAAGCTAAAATTTAAAACTGAGGGTAGATCAAAAACTACACGTAGGAAAAAAAAAAGAAAAATATTTTTATTATTACTAATACACACCTAATAATAAACTATCAACAGAATCTCGGCACCATTTTAATTTTGATTTTTTGTTGACCAGTGTTATTGATAGTTGTTTTGATGGAAAGTAAAAGTAAGAACCTTTTTATGTTTTGTACCTAGGCTTAAAATACATTTTTGTTAACAAAGTTTGCTAAAAAATGAAAAGTCTGATTATAAATAATTCATAATTAAAATTAAAATAAATAAATAAAGTTGATTCCTAAAAATACACTGTTTTTAGTATGTCTATGTCTCTTCCCTGTCCATAAAGTATCCTCCCGTGTGCACCTTGTCTCTACCCTGGTATTTACCCTGGTCGCTTATAAAACGAGAAAAAACCAACAAATTGACTGGCCACTTTGTAAACATTTTCAACTTAAAGGTTTCCATAAAACAGATGTATACTTAAGTAAAAATATTTAAAAAAATGCCGTGCCGTCGCTCCATGCAACACATTACCTCTTAACTTAGAATGACCTGTATAGATAATCGTGTAAGTTATTTCACGTTATTAGCATGCAAAAGAAAATATTTTTCGTGGAAAGCATTTTGATCTGTGACTTTCACAAAGTTATAATGTTCTATAATTTAGCTTCGATATTATTTAGGGAAAAATGTTACAGTATTCTAGTGTTAGGTTAATTTCTTGAAAGATCCGACAAACTAGAACAGCAGTCCCAGGGGAAAACGATAACGATATCGTCCTTAGTTAAAATATAAAACAGACTAGAAAAAAAGGTGTAGGATGCGTTACAAACCCACACGATAGAGTATGTAGGGCATTCATTGTAGGTCGTAACTAGAAAGCTCATTACTGATTTATTGAAACAATCCCTGATTTTTTTCTGAGAACAGTTAAAATCTAAACCACACGACAAACCTCATTACCAATAAATACAACTCTACATTTGTGTAGGAATTAGGTAGGTCTAATAAATTTACTCCTAAATTATTACGCGTTTTACTTATTTTTATTGTTAACCTAAAGAATATAAAACCTACTTAAATTCTGAATGTTTTTGTAGTCTGTTTGCTCCTTTGTGGGCCCATGTTTTGGAACATAATCCTAGACGACTTATTAGAAACTCGTTTACCACATGGTGCTTACATACAGGCCTTTGCAGACGATGTGCTACTCATTGTCGAGGCGCCGTCTGTTGACGAAGTAGAGAGAATAACGAATGAAGCATTACAAACCATCCTGAACTGGGGAAATGACGCTAAACTAACATTTGGCCCTGCCAAAACACAGGCAATAGCGTTCACGGCAGCGTCAAGTAGAGCAACTATAATGATGGACCAACAAAAAATTCCGTTCGCCCCAGAGATAAAACTTCTCGGCGTTATAATCGACGCTAAACTTAAATTTATAGCCCANGCATCACCAATAAAATATGATTTGTAATTTCATCTACTTTGAGGGCTCTTACGCACGTATTCACAAACGATGCTTGCTTAAGTTAAGCAGCAAATCGAACGCACAGCGTTGAATAGAGATTTGTGTTCGTTCGTGTGTCACTTTGTGCGTCCACACGCACTGTGAGTCCTCATAGTAGTCATAGTGATGTTTGTGAATAGGGGACACTGGCTAGACACTGACTGAACTCTCGACTACAAATGGGGGCGCTAAAAAGAATTTATTCTCTAAGTGGGCAGTAGACAAAATAAGTTTGGGAATCCCTGACCTATAGTGTGTAGTTTCTCGGCAGTTAAAGATTAAATAAACGGATCCATACCTGGCAAGAAGACTGTGCAGTGTTATTGTAGAACTCTGCACAGATGGTCGTATCCTGGACGATGCCGCTGATATACCAGCTGCGGCACTCGGCGTTTGAGATGCCTCGCAGGAACGTCCATAAAAGGATCTCGGAGGTGGTACCACCTGTTAAAAAAGAGTTGTATCAGGTTTTTTAGAGTTAGCTACATAAGTGGTCTAGTGGTAAGACCACCAGCTTCAGAAGCAGAGGTAACGGATTCGATTCCCAAAGGGTAACATAGTAAGACTTTCATGCAGGGGAAGGTTGAAGGTACTAGAGCGCGGCGCGCGGTAATTAGTTTTTGCACAAATTAAGCCTGTTAGCCCCACGTACTAAGCTAAATGCTTGTGTCACGAATGGGCATGGGCACCACAATAGTCGTTGTGTCACGAATGGGCTCACCATAATAGTCGAGCGAGTGGCGGGGTTCGAACCCGTGTTCCTCGGATGACGAGTCGGCCAGTCCGACTTCACCGTTCGGCTTTCGTGGCTTCAATTGCATTGGACAGATTCAAAACCGCACGAATGTACCAGAAAGGCTGCAGAAGAATGTAGCGACGAAGAGGAAGAATGACTAATTACCGTTCCAAGAGTCGTCAGTCATTCCGTAGCCGCTGACTGTCAACCTGTGTCCGGTGTAGTCCTGGTTCTTATCCTCCGAGTTCTGCAGGCGGCAGGGCTGGATGTATGCTGGAAGGAGACAGAATTGTAAAACTATAGTTATTTTTTCGGAGCGATCAAAAAACGCCACTTGTCTAGCTATGGGGGCCTAGGGGGCTGATCTTCACTTTCCATCAGGTGAATGAGATGCAGGCAGGCCAGCTTTTCCATAGTAAAAAAGAATAATAATTGTATTTCTGGCCACTGCGATACAAGCGTATGCTTAGTGCTGAGACCGCTATATAAAATCGTACTTTTAGACATATTTTTACTTAGGTACTTTTACAAACTATGTACTACATCGTATAGTATAGTTAACGGCTTGCAAAGCATTTACGCCCGTATTCACAAACATATTATTACTATGAAGTCTCACAGTGCGCGTGGAAGCAAAGGGTGACACACGAACCAATCACAGAGCTCCATTTAACGCTTGCGTTCGATTTGCTGCTTTACTTAAGCATCGTTTGTGAATATACAGGCGTAAGTATAGGCATTTCAATATCTTAAGTAGTCATTTCTGTGATAAGTAATCATCTGAGTTAGAGGCACTTACGTCCATAAGGAATATGCTGGTCAATCCCGACCAGAGCGATGTCATCGGGCTGGACCCCCGCCAGGATCTCGATGTAGCCAGGGTGGATGTACTTGCGCGTGGACTCCAGGATGATCTGTGGCTGGGTGATGTTGGTGAGGCCGAAGCGGATGACGAAGGTGATGCGGCTGTGGACATCCAGGAAAAGTCATTGCCAGTAGAGCCGTATTTTGAGTAGGTACAGACAAACAAAGGCCCGCCGGGCTAGGATACGCGCCGTGACAAAATCTTATCGTCGATTTTAAACGACAAATGTATGGGCTTATCGCGTAAAATCGATAATATCGCACAGCCTAGGTCTACTGGTATAAAAAACTGGCATTACTGGCAGTAATTATTATCTATGACATTGAGCTAAGTTTCTGTGCAAGAACTGCTTTAGATATCCATTTGGGTTATTACGTTACCTTAATTACAAAAATCCTAATATCTTATTAAGATAATACTAATATTTAGGTAATTTTCAATCCCAGATAACAGTGATCGTTTGTTTAAATTAGGTAAATACAAAGTTTTGTAAAGAACTATCTACGAAACAGTTGGTGTGTGCGACTTTATCGAAACGAATCCAATATTTTATGTCTCCGCTACACTACTCGCTACGATGAAATACCGAAATTAGCCGAATAATAGTGTAGTTAGACACTTCGTGTTTAAACTTTGTAATTTAAAGTTCAATTCCTTTGACTTGGGCGCTATAACGTTCAGCTAAACCAACGCGATCACACGCGATCAGCCGGCAAGCATTGATCGCCATCGCTGCACGCCGGCTGATCGCGTTGGTTTGGCTGAACCTTTCCTGACAACAACGTTTACTTCGATCAACTTCATCTTAGTGTAGCGGAGGCATAATACCTCCGCTAACTATTCGCGAAGTTGGCCGAAGGTGATAGGTCAAAGTTGGATTACTAACTTGGCCACGCAGTGAGCAGCGGTGATGACCCAGTTGTGGTGGATGACGGAGCCGCCGCAAGAGAACACGGCGCCGGCCGCGCTCACCATCCGGATGCTGACCTGATGCGGGATCTGCCCGTCGACTGCAGGCCAGCCGGCGACGATCCTGCCTGTTCACAATTACCAACTTATTCTATCTGTACTTTAGATAGCTTCAGCCACGAAGACGCGCCCCACTAATTTATGGTCGAGGGAAGCGCGGGGTGCGGGGAATTTGATCTGAGCAATCCGAGCGTCATTATTGTAGTGTGCGTCAAGTGTGGCGTGCACTCATGGATAATTTAGCGTGTACCGATAACACTTGTGCCGGCATGTGTGTCCCTACCATGGCACAACACTCAAACATTAGTGGAAGAATGGTGGGGCACGTGTTCGTGGATGAAACGATCTACAATGTGGAAATGATGTTGGGATTTTGACACTGTTTGAACAGGGACTATTCCCACCGCTGCAACTCCTGTGTAGCCAGGATCTACAGCTTGACCGGCAATATAAACCAATCAATGCAGGCCAAGTTTGTCCCGGGGGAAAGTTATTACTGCCATTGGACCCGCAACTCCTCCAAGGCGAATGTCAGATAACAAACTAATACTCAGTAGATAGTTTCACCTATTTTCATATGTGCACTTATCGTGACTCACACTGTATAGTAGGCGGTAGGTAGACAATGCTTCACTACCGATTTTAGAAAATGAACTATGCTGACAGTAAAAATGCAATGGGCCAAAGTGAAATGAAATTAGTCCCTAGTCCCAAGTCTAGAAATTATCACTATTCAATTATGATTTTATGGATAATTAATTTTTATTATGTTTTACTTACTGCTGACCCCGCGCAGATCTTCCATGAAAGCTGGTTGCTCATTCTTCAGGACTGGGTGGAAAGCCTGGACGACATTATTATTGTGATTATAAAATAAATTAAACACAGACGCGGGTTACTTTTCCACAGGTTCCACACAAACTACGTGATCTTGAAGGAAATGGTTATAGAAGATTTGTGGGTAGATTTAAATCTGTCAAGTTCAAGACCACAGATTAATAATGACCACAGAATATTAATAACCTGATGAATAACGTAGATGTTCAAGCACCTGAATTTTTTTGATACTTCAGTATTCTTTCATATATATCTATAAAAACGAAAGGTCACTGGCTCACTCCCTCATCACGAAATCTCAGAAACTACAAGTGCTAGGAGTCTCAATTTTTGCATGGGGGTTCCTTTTAGAACGTAGGTGCTCACTAAGACGGGATTTTGCAAAATTCAACTCCTAAGGGGGTAAAAAATAATCTTTTCAGTAAATAGTTAGCCTTATAAAGAGCACTTTTATAAAAATGTTATTATACTATGCGCTGGTGCTGAGAAGTAGCAGCGCCAGAAGATCAGTCACTAAATAAAGTTTGACCCATGGTTAATTCAGTTGTTACAAAAACCCAAAACACAATTAATTTACTTAAATCTACATACCCCAGCCAGTCCAAAGACAAGCAGAAAACCAAACACGTATGCGGCTGCCATCTTCGTAGGCCCAGTTCCTACTGCTACTTCGCGGGAGACTTAGCCAAAAAATGTTAAGCCTTATCAGGGAAATTAGACGAGATACGTTAATGAACAATTTATCAATTAAGCACATTGCTTATCAATTAATCACACACATTTATGGGTTTTCCTGATTTTCTTGCGTTGGCGTTACAGATAGGATTTTCCTAATATGTATTTATTATGTTTGCTGATTGGTTCAACACGTGTGAATAATTTCAGTTGTAGAAGCTCAAGCCACCAGTCTGCCTGTGACCACAGCTGAAGCAACGCTGCTGAAACGTCAAGCTGTAAGTACTCCTCATGTAACTTCATAAGAAAATGACTTGCTTAGATAGCGTGATTCCTTTGTTAGAATATTTTTTGAGAGCTTTAAGGGCCCACGCCCACGGCGACCTACAGAAGTGATGCCGCCAACGCGCTACTAACGAGCTACAGAAGCGCGACTGCTTCGCTACAAAAAGTCGCCATGGGCGAGGGCCCTTAGTGGTTTAAAATCATAGAACTAGATAAATCGAATTTAGAACTCTGTTAATACAAAGAAAACATAGTTATTTCTATTCTGTCTTTCATGTCTCACATAGTTTAAATACCTATGCATAATATAATAGGCTAGTTTCCTAAAAAATAACTTTTAGTCCGTCAATTATAGTATCAAAAAATATTGAACTCGTATTTTTTTATTTGTCAATCCAACATGTAATTTCGAAGTTATGATGCGTTGAAGTTCCTCGTGACATCACAAAGTGCTACACTTTTAAGCACTCTTTGACGTCACGGGCCTTTTCTTTTGAACTTTGACGCGCTTTATCTCTTTAAATTTTCATTATTTTGAAAAAGTTAAAAATACCTTTGGAGTATTATTTGATAAGTTAAACCGACTGACTAATTCAAACTCTTGCTTCATTACCCAGGAAACATCCCTATTTACTAAATAGAGTCGCAATACTCACAATGTATTTTTCATGTACTACCTAGCTAATCTAAGAAAATTGGCAACATTTTTGCAATACAAACTTAACCAATGACTGGTATTAAGGATGGGCAGGGTAAGAAGACCTATTTTTGTGAGAAGCTAATGATATGACAAGGTGACCTAAATGTATTGGATTTATTGCCGATTCTTAATCTCTCACTGGTTGACAATTGCAAGTTTAAAACTAAGCGTTGACGAAGATGGGCTCCATCTTTGCTTCCTCGGAGGAACTTGACGAGGAGGAGTCTGAGGACGAGTCATCAGATGAGTCATCAGATGAGTTAGAGGAGCTGTCTTCTTCAGAAGAGGCGGGAGGGAGCAGGTCCTCGTTCCTCCAGTCGAAGTTGATGCCGGTCACCGACACATACCAGTCGTGGTAGTGGCCGGGGCGCACGTACGCTGGAAAAAAAGAAGTTTTCATGAACCAGAGCAGTCATTCTGGAGGTTTCCTGGCCTTTTGGTCTAAAAAAAGGAAATTGCGTAACTAATAGAATTTTTCAGCGGTTAACTGTATTGATAGGTGACTGTTGAATTTTTCTTGATAACAGACGGGGCTTTTCTTGACGCAGGTTCTTGGGCACTTGCCTAAAATGCCCTAAGAAAGAGAATCTGAAACGCAACCAAATGGAAACTTAGCGAAACGAGCGTCATGATGCTTTAGTCTTATACTAGCGACCGGCCCCGGTCGCAAAAAAAAAAAGCCGCATCAAAATCCGTTGCGTAGTAAAGATCTAAGCATACATAGGGACAGATAACGAAAAGCGACTTTGTTTTATTCTATGTAGTGAAGTAAATATTACCTGAAGGCCAAGGGCTGTTGCATCCTTGGCTGGAGCCGAAGCTGACGATGCCGACCATGGTGGGCTGGCCGTCCACATCCACCTTCGTCAGGGGACCGCCGCTGTCACCCTGGAGGAAACATGTTTAGTTGAATTTTTAGACCTTTGACCTTGTTATGGGATCAGCGAGGACTTTTCATATTTTAAACCTATAATACCGAAGACTTTGACCTTTGACTTGATATTGGGATGGCATTGTGGGGACCATTTTGCCTAGCTACAGCTAAGCTAAGTTCTATGTGAATTTATTCAAGCTTACTTACAGATGATAGGACGTCAAGTCAAAAACTGTGAGCTCTTAAGTGCTTGTGATAGGGGTGATTTTGCAACAAAAAATTTAATTCTGGTATGCTGTTGCCGCCTCATAAAACTGGCTCGATTTTTGCAGTTCGTGAACCGGCGACACGTCATAAATAACTCTGTTTGATGTTCAAAATCTATGAGAGGAACTGGCTATCTTACGTCCTACTACCAAAACACAATAATGCTGTTGGCGATAGACTTAGATATAAGATGGCTGTGACTAACCAGGCGGACTAACTTTACCAACACCAACAAAACCGAGCAGAGAATTTTATCCTTACTGAGAATCGAACCTAGGTCCTCTAGACCTGAAAGCGGTTACCTGGCAGGAAGACTGAGCGGTGTTATTGTAGTACTCAGCACAGATGGTCTGGTCCTGAACAATGGGGCTGCCTCCGTACCAGCGGCGGCACTCCTCGTTGGTGATGCCGCGAAGGTGCACCCACAATAGGATCTCGGAAGCGGCTCCACCTGTGACCAAGAAATGGTAGGGTAAACGGTACTATTCCCATCTCTCGTTCCCATTGCTGCAACTTCTGTGTAGACAGGATCTACAGCTTGTTCGTTAGTTCGTTTCACCCAAATGTCCACTGCTGGACAAATACCTTTCCCAAGGACAACATTAAAGTGCCCAGAAGGCAAGCCACATTGCTGCGCTGAATAGCCAGTTAAATTTTATGGCCTAGGGTCAGCCATCGGATCATAAGATGTCTCAACTAAACGCTATTTTAAATCAACTAAAGTACGAAACAGTTTGTGGGCGCTTGGTCCCCACGGGCCCAAAGTTTCAAATCCAAACGGCTCAAATACTTATAATAATGTAATATCATTGCGCTTTTCATATTTGCGCCGTTAGAGATCTTCTGCAGAAGCAGCAGCCGAACCCACTTTATAATATTTACGTTTATTTATAACATTGATTACCGTTCCACAAGTCGTCAGTACGTCCGTAACCGCTGACTGTGAATCTGACTCCGGTGTAGTCCAGGTTCTTCTGCTGCGAATTCTGCAGGCGGCAGGGCTGGATGTAAGCTGGAAGAAGAAAGATCATTCACCATTTATTTATCTCGATTAAGAGCTAAGTTACTACTACGATCTCGAGGAAAACTTTAAAGTTATGAGGACAAGAGACTAAACTTCTAAAATTGTGGTAAAGGCTGTATCAACCCTGATATCAGTCAGCGTCTGAAATGATTCATTCGAACCGACTAAAGCCTGAAACCTAGGCGTTCTCGAAATTGGCTTTTTTAAGGACCATTGGGTTGATGCAAAAGCATAAAAGTATGCTCTCTATGACTTTGGTATTAGGCCCTTTCCCACTCAGAAAGCCATAGGAGAGGAGAGTGTGGATTTTGTAGGTTCCTCTTCCACTCATCCACTCACCAAAAACATTATTTNTTTATACTTTTTGTACTAATGCTATAATGAGGAATTGAGTTTCGTCACTGTTTGATCAGTACATAGCGGGACTACGAGTGTATGCAGGATCCTCCCAATATTTTACGATATTTTCGTTTCTGTTTTCGATTTAAAAAATCGTTTTTCAGCATGACAGCCGACAGCCTCGCCGTGAAATTGCGGTGGATAATTAGTTAGGCTATCAAGCTAAAATGTGTCACCTGTAATAGGGGTGGTTTTGAACAAAAATGTATAGTCTGATGTGCTGTCGACTGTATTAGCACAAGCATTTTTATGTTTCTCTACTGATTAACGAAAAAAAATGTTTTACTTACTGCTGACCCCGCGCAGGTCTTCCATGAAAGCTGGTTGCTCATTCCTCAGGATTGGGTGGAAAGCCTGGGTTATAAAATAAAAATTAAACACAGATGCGGGTTACTTTTCCACAGGTTCCACACAAACTACGTGATCTTGAAGGAAATGGTCATAGAAGATTTGTGGGTAGATTTAAATCTGTCAAGTTGAGATTACGACCACAGATTAATAATGACCTGTTAGTTACTACATATTTATTTTGACAATAATTAACTCATATGTTCAACCACCTGATTTTTTTGATACTCATGGCTAATGAACTTACAATAGAACTTACAACCCACAAGTTAATTAATAATTAATAACCTATTTAGTTCACTCCAGCCTGCTGCCGGATATCGTCTGTCCATCGTTTAGGCGGTCTTCCCCTGCCGCGGGTGTTGTTGCGGGGTCTCCACTCCAGGGTCTTTCTGGCCCAGCGATCCTGGTTTATCCGTGCAATTTGCCCTGCCCATGCGTGTGGCCAGGGACAGAAATCGGTGGAGGGTTGAAGAGGAGGCCTATGTTCGAAGGCGGACCCAAAGGCTGACATAGATAGATAGATAGAACCTATTTAGATCTACATACCCCAACCAGTCCAAAGACAAGCAGAAAACCAAACACGTATGCGGCTGCCATCTTCGTAGGCCCAGTCCCTACTGCTTTGCAGGAGCCTTTGCCAAAAAATTTTAAGCCTTATCAATAAGGGAAATTAGACGAGATAGGAGATACGTTAATGAACAATTTATCAATTAAGTCTATTGTTTATCAATTAATCACACACATTTATGGGTTTTCCTGATTTTCTTGCGTTGGCATTACAGATAGGATTTTCCTAATATGTATTTATTATGTTTGCTGATTGATTCAACAAGTGTGAATAATTTCAGTTGTAGAAGCTCGAGCCACCAGTCTGCTTGTGACCAAGGCTGTAGCAACGCTGCTGAAACGTCAAGCTGTAAGTACTCCTCATGTAACTTCATAAGAAAATGACTTGCTTAGGTAGCCTGATTTCTTTGTTTGAATATTTTTTGAGAGCTTTAAGGGCCCACGCCCACGGCGACCTTTCTTTTCTTTAGTTTCGTAAACGCGCGACAGCATCGCTACTAACGCGCGTTAGTGCATTTGCAACGCACTACAGAAGTGATGTCAACGCGCTACTAACGCGCTACAGAAGCGCAACTGCTTCGCTACAAAAAGTCGCCATGGGCGAGGGCCCTTAGTGCCCTTAGTCACTAAGGGCTTCTTTTTAAGGATAAATCGAACTTAGAACTCTGTTAGTACAAAGAAAACATACACTCGGCATCAAATAAATCGCACCTCCCGCAACAAGCACTTCTCAAACGTATGCATCCCCACTTCCCACCAAAATTGGTTGCATTTGAAAGCCTAGTTCTAAACTTCATTTCATTAAAGGAAAGGTTTTAATCCCAAAAATGTGTTTTTAGAAGGATCCAGAGTCACTTCTTCAAAAATAGGTAGTTACGCTTGAGCCAACTTTTATGGCTATAAAACTGTTAAGTTGGGATGAATCGCTATCTATCTGTTAAAGAGGACACGTCCACGTGAGATCATTATTTGGTTTTATAACCATAAAAATTGGTCTAATTGATCCCAGAGGTGAGCCCAAAGTGAGGTCTTTTTTCAAGTTACATTTAGGTATGGTATATATGTTAATCATTTATTAAGAAGTTAAATGTGTTTTTCTTTAAGGATATTTATTGGGCTTTCAAATAACACCAATATTGTAGGGGCACCATGATTGTGTCAGAAGAAAATCTTTAAAGTTCGCGTCGCAGCAGTAGTAGGGAATTTAGTGCAATGATTTGTATGGAGACCCCTCCACTTTGGTATAGAAGGCTCATTTTTGCAACAGTGGTTCTTTGGGTGCTCCTGAGTGGATTTCCGTCGGTAGACATCGGGAGCCCCCCCTGTGGTAGCAGGGGGAGGGGGGGCAAGTTTCCTTCCGCCGCGCTTCACTTTAAGGCCCATATCTTCAAAACTATGGGTATTAGGGCAAGTGTGCTATCATTTTCGGATAATTAAAAGATGGAGAATTCATTTCTAGAACAAACTTTTTGCCTTTTCATACAAAAAATTAGAAATATTGAGTAAAATTCACAAAAACCAAAAAGTATTTTTTTAAATAAACGTCGTTTACTTTTAAACCACTAGAGATAATCTAATAAAAAAAATATGGCCTGAAAGCTACATTTATCAGGATTATAAAAATATAACATTGTATGGTACTTTTTTCGCAAAAAGTAGGTGAAAAAAATTTTTTCTTCAGGACACAGCGGGCGAATTTTATTGCGCATCGGAAAAAAATATTTATTTTATCCATGAATTCATACTATTTGGTTCATAAGCAAGCAAGGATTATTATTTTAGAATTTATTTAGAGTTGCTGGCACATCAATCTACCATAATTTGTATTTTTTCGTCAATTGATTTTGAACTCTGTGTGAGAGACATAAGGTTGAAAATAGTTTAAATACATTTTAATATTGAAAATATAAGAAGAAAGCACTAAATAAAGAACTTTAATTTGTCTAAACGTCTTAATGATTATTATTATTTTAATTAACACTTATTTTCGAAAAAGTGCCGTAACAAAAAAAAAAAAAAAAAAAAAAAAAACAACGCAGTTTTCATTTACTTTCTTTACAGACCTAAGGAGTCTATATTTTAGTTAATTCGTTATACTTTTCGTTTATTATTGACGATCAAGTTTCATAGGTACATGTTACTCTGCAATGGTTAACCACTGAGCTTGTGAAGGAAAAAGTTCAAATCCATAAAGTAGTAGAAAATCAAGACACAATAATTTTTTTAGCGTAGTCTCATGTGTCCTGTAATAATAAGAGTATTACAAGCCTTGATACAGAGAATAAGTTCCGAATTCACCTCGCTATTTTAAAGCCCCAGTTTATTAAGGACATCATCCTGCCGGCGCTGGCGCAAGCCGTTTATGACCCTCGGCGTTTACGACCGATGTCTTATGGATATACTAAGCCGTAGGGCTACCGACTGTGACCTATACACTTTATTTATATTTTTTACGCGACTGCGCCAGAAGTAGGGTTATGTCTTTTAAATTCAATTTTGCTAAAATAAAAGTAAATTTTCCTAACAACCAATAGAATTATACCTAGCACAAAATATTTACATATTTGTTCATCAAAAGTAAAACTACACACACCATTTAGTACATACGAGCAGTACTTATTATTATTCTGTGATACGAGTACATTATTAGGTTCAGAATTACAATTTTATTTATGTTTCCATAGCAATAAAGCGCCTGGTAATATAACTATACCTAAATCATTCTCTCACGCCTTTCAAAGTACTTGGTTATAAATTCTCTAAAATGGTCGAACTAATTTGCTTCATATTAAAAGTAGTGTCCGACCGAATATGGATTTTCAGCCGAAAACGGAAACGAAAACGAAGCTTCGGCTGCAGTCTCATTTTCGGCCGAAAACGAAAACGAAAACGAAAATGACCTTCAACTCTCAAATTTCAATCTGTGATCAAATAATATCTTGTAAACAATATGAAATTACCTATGTAAAAACTTTGAAAACCATGTTTTTCAAAAATGTTTTTACCAAAAACATATTGACGTTTGACAGTTGATTTTGATAAAGATTTATTATAGAAAACCGGCATTAAAACACAATAAAAATATTATGAATTCTTAGTAGAATATTATTTCCGGTGTATATTGAAATCCTACATGGAAAGTGAAGAAGAAATAAAGGGTGTCCAGTGGGAATTTTTCAACTTCAAAAATGAATACAAATAAATCATATGACTTTTTATTATTTATTGCATTATTGCAATGTCGTTTAAATGATGCCCGTTTTACATATGCACTCTTACAGCCGGACCCTTACATTCGCAACTATGCGAAAGCAAATCGTGCTAATAATTTTCCTGCAACTTCACGACGGATATTTTCTTACAGAACCTGAATTATTCAAGGATAGTTTGCTGTCAACTTTTGACTTGAGATATCCCCACAAGAGAAAGTCGCACGGTGTGAGATCTGGTGACCAAGGCGGCTAGGGTATGTCCCTGTACCTGCTGATCATTTATTTGAAAAAAAAAATAGTCCTCAGTGTCTCCATCGAGGTCCTCTCCTTGTGTGGTGAGACACCTTCTTGCTGAAATAGAGTTCCGTAGTTGTCCGGGATGCAGTTGCAGTTGTGGTATCCGACATTCATCGATCATTCGACAATACATTTCAAATACTTATTGCTCAACTGCGAACGCTCTGTAGGCTCCCGATCAGTGACTCATGGCGTATTTCAAATCCGCATTACTCTATTTTGAAACAATTAAACTTAATGAAAACTCTTTGGTTTTATTTGTATTCAAATTTTGAACTTGGAAAATTCTCGCTGGACACTGTTTACAACGTAACCTCACTTCACAACTTCAAAAGAGTGTGACAATACCGCGTCCGTTCAAGTCTGATTGGAACCATGAGTGCACCAGATTCACTTCCGAAGATATCAGAACGATAAACGTCACCATCTTGTTCACGTATTTCTGATATTCGGTTTGGCCGAAGCTTCGGCTGGTTTTTGGCCGAAAACGAAAATATGGCCGAATGCCCATTTTTTGGCCGAATATGGCCGAAAACGAAAACGAAAACGAATATTCGGTCGGTCACTAATTAAAAGCAATAAAACTGAAATAAAAAAGTGAAATTGCAAGCCCTGCGCAGCGGAACAGAAATAATAAAGTTAGTAATAAACCACACGTCTGCGGGGATATGGACAAAATAGTAAAAGGAGCTTGATATTAACCACGCCACGCCCGTCGCACTGTCTGCCCTCGTGTACTTAGAATTTTCACGACTTAGCTTAATTTAGTTGGAAAAGATCTCTCTATAGGTAGAAATGTAGCATTTTATACTCTATCGCATTGGGGTAACCTGTAATGTTAGAGGTAAGATTTTTATTAAATAAATAAATAAATAAATTTTGACTTTACCGCCTTCAACGGTACAATAATCTAGAAAGCTTAACGTACGTTTTTGTAGAGTCTACAGGAAAAATAATATTGCATTATCTTTCAACAGATAAGTAGGTGGTATATAAAGTTTCAAAAACTAAACACTTCAAAACCGAGCTCAATCGATAGGCAAAGGTCACACGCCCTTTATGTGGCCCACACGATGTGCTATCGGAGATGAATGAACCGTCTTGACAAGCACGTCGTAAAAATAACAAGGGTCTTAAAACTAAAGATGTGAGGTTGCTGAATGGCCCTTTGAGAATACTTGAGCATAATACGCAACAAGAAAACCTATTTAAGATTAGCTTGCGAAGACAATTGCGCAGTCACACGTGAATTTAATGTACAGTAAGTGTAATGTAAAGGTCTTTCAATTTAGTTAACAAGGCCGAACCTTCCTAATGTTTTGTATCTTAGGATTAATGGTTCTGAGTGGCACATTGAATAGTTAAACCGAGATGAAAACAATCAATGAAACTCAAAGCTTGCAATGCACTTGTTGAAAGGTTCAGGGTGAACCTTATCTAGGACAGAATTAATCAATAGATCTACTGATGTGCAAACATATCTTCTGATGTCATCTCCTGTCAGACGTCCATCACTTGATA